CTGAAACGGATGTTAAATTTATAACAGAAGAGAGTCTCTTTATAAATAAAAAGGAAACAAATTGTTAAATATAAAGGAAGTTGAAGAAACTCTAAAAGTGTTAAAGGCGGATGCAACTTCGGTATTTGAGAACATACAAAACATATTAGTATTTACTAATCGAAGACCTGAGCCCAAACACGTACAGCTGAAGTAACGTACAGCATTATAAACCTAAGGCAGTAGTACTTTAAAATTTGTAGATGTACAAAAAGAAATACTTGAAAGAACAAGTTAATATTTCTTCTAAAATAATACAGCAATTTGTATAGACATTGCGTGAGAGATATTCTACTTATTCTGATTGTAATCTAATTACTTCCTGAGATGCAAATTACTTAACATTCTTAAGCTGCAAAAGATATAATAATAACTGGTTGAGCGGATTTGTTAATTGATCCCTGATGTTACCGATCACATAAAATAATAAATGTAATCTACATGCACTAATTGATAAGCGTATTATCTAATTCGATGTATTAATAGATTTAAATTGTTTGTTGTGTCTAATGTTTATTAATAAATATAACATTTTATAAATTTATTTCTCATGTGTTTTTTTTTGATACAAAGTTGATTGAAATACAAATAATTACATAAACTATAAATTATAAAGTTGCAAAGACTTAATTCTAAGAATTATACTAGAAATAGAAAAAAAAATCGTGAAAAACATGACTCTGTGATATGGTTTAATGAAACACTTATAAAGTAAATATTTTTAAATAGTGATTTATCTCCACTAAATAATCTACTAAACTAATAAGTACAGAAAACTAAAAAAAAGCCTTGTCACCATTTCAGTTTCAACATTACACTTCCGTGTTTGTTTTGTACGACTTTTTTTATGTTTCAACTAAATGAAACCTTTAAATGATTATTTATAAAAATTTATACAAAACAACATTAAAAGTTGTAATGTTTTTTTTAATTTAAATTTAATGACTAAATGAATAAATTAATATAAACACAGATATTTCATGTGATAATAAAAGTAAATGTTTGTTAAGTTCGAACATTTTGCAAGTTTTAATTACGAAAACAAACATTGTACTCGTGCAGATAAATGTACTATATGTAATAGTAAAAAAAAAAAAAACTCAAACAAACAGTTGTATTTTGTGAAATTATAATCATCTTCCATTCATATCTAATTTATCCAAGGCTGTTCCAATTTGTAATGTGTTTCTAATGCATGTTATAACTGTTATTACTCACAACAACACAACACGAACCGAAAACAAACAAAAAAAAAGTACAACTGTTAAATAAAAATGAGTTTGTTTCAAAGAGTTAAGCTTTTAGCTGCGATTATCTCAAGACGACTGGTAGACAGACACACAGCTTATCGAAATTTTAAAAATCCTTTTAAGAATTATCGCCGCGTGCATGACAAATATAGTTTACGAAATGAAAATACAAAGTGAATAATTTAATACGCTTTTAGAAAAAAAAAACTGTTGTCGTTTTGTACAGACTGCAGCTCGTCGAATTCCACGGATACTGGTGTTACTTTCGAGAATTCCATTTGGCTAAGAAGGTGTGCGTAACTGTAGATTTCGGAATGGAATGGGGTCATTGCAATTCAGAAAGTGGAACTGCTATGTGCATACTTTCAAATAACCATTGGAGGAGACTGTGAACTGAGCAATTCGCAGTCGATGTTATATAACTTTGTATGCAGACCCCGTGCACATTGCTTGTAAATTCGGTATACTAATTGGAATCGGAGAGTGGCAGACAGCAGAGGTTCACATTAAAATACAATGCTATTGTAAATAGCGTTTATTGATCGCTGGTAGGAAATATGCGAATAAATCCAGTCGCATTATTTCTAATTCGATTATGCATTTGCTTGTATTATATACGGTGTGCAGCACATAACTCTCTTACCACCGTAACCTTCGACGCATTTCCGTTCGCTTACACGTCTACAACACCTTGAATACATCAACTGCGAAAGACAATAGATCGTGTGCCATCCGAGTGCTGCTAAAATCCGAATACATTTTCCATGCAGACCCTACGCTTCGGAACCTTACTGTTACAGGTAAACCTTGCAGTTTTCAAGGCCGAGCAGGTGCAAATTTAATCTATTTAATTTAATCTACAAGTGTTGCGAACAGATTCATTCTCCTTCCTTTTTTTTTGTTTTGTTCGAACTGCACGTTGATAATGTTACGATAAATTTAATTAGCGAGTACAAAAACAGTTTCAAGCAATTGAGAAAATGCAATTTACGTCGATATCAAAAACGATATTGTAATTAAATCCAACATTCCAAACTTCACACTTTAATATATTTCTTTCCCAATAAACGAGTATGTTGCAAACTCGTTGCACATCTCGTAGATCTATCATATTTTACACAAACTTGGAAATAAGATTTGTGTATTTTCATTATATGTGTGCATTGCAAAGATCATTAACGGTTTGTGATAAAAATGTATAATTTAGAAGATGCTTGGGGTCAATCGGTTTCGTAAAGGAAATAGTTGAAATTCCGAATGCAGATAAGATTATAATAATTAAGAGAATTAAAAAAGGCAGACAGGATATCCCGTTTTCAGAATTGCACCACACAAAGAGCGAAGAAAATATGTGTATAACAAAAAGAAGTCCGGAAATCTCTGGATAGGTACCAGAGATGCAGCGGAGGAAATAAGCTCCGCGCGGAGGCTCATTACGCAACAGATACTGAAACGAGCGTGCAGCAGCACTCTTGCGCAATAAGTTAGAGAAAGGCTTCGGATAATAGGCGCGACCGGAGGAGGAGCGAAAGCCGGAGGAAGAGAAACTGCATTCGATGCGTTGTTCTTTTTTCCCGAGAAACCAGGAAGTCCACAAATCATAGTCATTACCAGAAACCTGATTTTCGTGACAGGTCTGGTGTTTGTGGGGGTGTCGTGCCTCTTCTCGAAAGATGTTTGTGGGTACCCTTTGTTAAGAGGTGGACACAGTAGCAAAAGATGATGGAGAGAAAGACGAAATGATTCTGTTGTGACTTGTTGTTGCGTGCCTCGAAATTACCGGTGCAGTTGTAATCATAGAAAAAACCTTTTTTTCTTTGTACAGCGAAGAGAAAAACCGAACGATCCAAGATTAGAAAGTACTCCCTGGAAGGTATAATTATTTGAAATCTATCATTAATCAAAATTGGACAGAAGAAATACGGGACTGTAGCTCGCGTACTTGGGAATGATTACAAGTTTCTGGTTTAATGTTCAATTTTTTACGTTACTTGAACTTGTGAAGTTTCAAAATTTGTCCATCTACGTAAACATTGCTTAGCTTTAGTAAATAGTCAAACATCAATAATCGAATGACCGTCACCCACATAACAATGTTTGCTTATTTGATGAAGTTACATTAATATCCAATTTATTGTGTATATAAATTGCAGTAATTTAACTGCGCGCAAAAATATTTATCTGGAAGGTCAACACAGTTTCTTTTTCATTAGTATTACTCAGTTGCAACGGCTTGAAGTGTCGCTTGCATTATTGAAAGTGAGAGTGTGATAATGCAAACAGCTAAAGTGTATATAAATATATTTATATCACATTCCTCGCTCGTTAATGAATAAAACAATGAACACGAAATTATCAATGCAAAGATTGTACATAAATGCATTCTTCTATCAAGTGTGACCTAGAAAGTGAAACAGTCGAACACAACAGCCAATCAGAGTTGTTCTTCGGACAGGATTAAAGGAGGTGTCGGTTGATAAAGTGAAACAAATAAAAGTCGAACAATTTTTTTTTTTTTTAGAAAAAAAAACAATTAGAAGCCTCTTACATTTTGTTAAACATAAAATGCTCCATATAATATAATTATATTTGTTACTATATTGTTAATTTACATATTATACAATATTATTAGCTTTCGTTATACAAGAAACAATTATAATTCTTAATATAGTTAATATATTTACGATTATTCTGTGGTTATTTTGAGATCAATTATAACAATACATCACAGGTTTGTGAAATATATTTTTCTTTTAAAATTAGAAAAAAAAAACCATACGAAAACATCTCAAAATATGCAAAAAACAAAAAGACATTGAGATCTCGCAACCCTGCAAAAAAAAAATATATAGAAAAAAAAAGAAAGAACCTTAAGAAGAACAAGCGGATGATGAACTGAATCGAAAATCAAAAAATTGGGTTACAGTTTGCAAAGAACTCGTAAAACGAAGAAAGAAAGAAAACACAAATCTTATGTTGAAGAACCAATACCAAAAAATATATATGTACAATGTTGTTTTTTTTTGTTGTTGTTGTTTTTGGCAAGCTCAGCTGCCCCGGAATTGCAGAAATCATTGAACCGTTTACCTGTTGTATAAATGAAATCAAGTTAGAAAATGTTAGCAATTTCCCAACTTCCCACTTAATTTAATTATTACACTTAATTACAATATTTCTATTTATATATTAATATATAAATATTTCCAAAAAAAATAATAATAATAAAAAAAATGTTATATAATACAATAATTTTCCTTTTTTGTTGTTGTTGTTGTTGTTTGTAGAAAAACCTGGCTGTACGTTTTCATACCTTAATTTTCAAATTGTTTTCAGTTTTCATAAATAAATTAACATATCTCTTAAATTAAGATACAAAATCACAGTCAGTAGAAGCGCGAAAAAAAAAACAAAAAAAACAAACTACATTAAACGAAACGAATAATTTAAATAAAGAATTGAAGAACACAAATATAAACCAATCAAAATAAAGATTACATCAATTGTTACCGAAAAGAAGAAAACAAATGCTTTGCTTTTTTCCTCTCTCTCTCTAAAGTTTCTCTGCACACAAAGCAAAAGAAACGAACCTTATTTTTTAAATAAATTAATAAAAAAATAATAAACTCAAGAATGTACAACTAAAATATAAATTTCTTTCTTTTATAATTAAAAAAAAAACTAATTGTACTATACAAATAAAAATTTATACGAGATCGATATTTGTAACAAAGTGGGGGAATGGGGGGGGTGATAGGTGATATGGGGGGGTTGGTTATTGGATTTTCAGGAAAGTGATAACTATCTAACTACAGTGCGACTGCCTGGGTATTTTCGGTGGCACCACTGAAGACAACTTTTTCATCGGCTCTGCCTGTCGCTTCTTCACGCTCATGAAATCTGAAACAAGAGAGAAAATAAGGTTAATATATGTTGGAGGTCACGAAATAACGGTCGCTACTAAACATTGCACAAATATTATTCGACCTTCGCCAAAAAAAAACAAAAATAAAAACAATAACAAACAAATGCTACGCTGAATCATTTCTGGTCAATTTATACAACAATGCCACCTCCACCACCGCCGCCTTAGGTGTATTTTTAGCCAGAAAAAGCGTGAAGACAACCTGTTTTATACTTCAGGAAGGAGAGAAAAAAAGACGAAGGAACGTGCCAGAGGATACTCTTCCTCCGAAGTAGACGATTATTGTTATTCCTTCTTTTTTCTCCGTATTATTGTAAATGTTTTCCGGAGTCGTTGGCCTCCTTCGATCGCCCTGTAACTCAATCTATCCGGATGTAAATTGGGTCATACGCAACTCTTTCATGGGAAAAACTACATGGAACTCGGTATGTTTTGTTTCAGATGCGCGCACGTATAAACAGATGAGGGTTGAAATCAAACGTGGGAAAAGGCGCACATGTTCGAAATTCGACAAAGAGAGGACAGAGAGAGCGCGCGCGCGCACGTGTTCATCCATCGCGGAGTTTAAAAACTTGCTGCATGACCTCTATTTATTATTCGCAACAACGAATTCACGTAACGGTTCACATCCATACAACTGTATATACGCCAGGTATCATTATTATTCTGCGTTAGGGGTGATCTCGGGATGAGCAAAAGAGGAACAAACGTGAGGCCACCAGCTAAAGAGAGAGAGAGAGTGATCGTAAACCGGAGAGATAAATGGGACCGCAGTAGTACTACGCACATGTAGAGTAGTATTCGTTTCCCGTGTTTATCACAGGCCTTCTACTATACACGGAAACTAGTGTATGGCGATAATGTGTTTATGAAATTGAAGGAAAAATAACAATATGATTCCAAAATGACTTTTAAAACTGAAAAAATGTCTATGAATTGTACAAACACTGTGTACAGTAGATTAACGCAATAAATCCATTGCGTAACGTCTCAGGGTCAATGGTACAACAGAAACTGTGCGTACGAAATGTTCGTAACGCACTGGAAATGTTTCAGTGGGTTATTATATAACATTGACAATAACCATCGAAGGTCGTTGTGTTTTGGTATTGGCTCTAGAGCGAACGGTTCTCCACCGAATGTGGAGTGATGATTAATAGCAGTTTATGATGAACATCAGCGAGCGGCATAAACGCTTGTTTTTGCGTAGATGGGAGGAGGAGAGCTGATGAACTTTGCGATTAATTTGACCCGGATTAAAATCAAACCATCACACAGCTGCTGCTGCTGTTGCTGCTGATGCTCATTACATGTAATTTAAAAACTCAAATTAGAGCTGCTACGAGAGAAGAACAACAATAACACGCACTCCGCGTCTGTCACCGCATCCTTTTACTATACTGCGCCATTTCTATATCTCTTTTCATTTCTTTGTGATGACCGAGAGCTGCAGAGAATATTTCCTCCTCACAAAAAGATCGACTGGAACACAAATACAAATGTTTAAGCCTCGGGGGTCGAGTTCTTTTCTCTCTCTTTCTATCTCTTGTCATATTTTGTTTTGTTTCTTCTTTCTTTCTTTTTTTTTTGTACAAAACTCTCAGAGAGAGAGAGAGAGATAATCTGATTTCGTAGTCTCTTCGTAGTAACTAAGTTTAGGTGAACGCACCGGCCAAGGTGAACCACCTCTTAGGCAGCAATGGTCGCAATGGTGCGTATGCGTCCATCCGCTGTATGCGTGTGTATAGGCCTACTAACAAAATTATTATACAACACATAGGAACCGAGATTGATACACACGAGAGTGAATAAGATGAAATATGAACAAGATAAACGAACGTGAACTTGAAGATGATTGAATACACGCTTAGCGAGCGGAGGAGCAGCAGCACTCGGGCGACGAGAAGAGAGAAGAGTAAGTGGAAAAGGAACATCCCTGGGGCCAGTTGCTTGACCATCTCGCATCGGGACATTGGACATAACCGGTTTTTGATACGAATTATAAAATTTATATCTTCCAGCCGTACACACACACACACACACAAACACACGTGTACATACATACATAGTAGACTATATACTCCGCGAAGCTACGATTACTAGGAAAATATTTTGTTACACAGAAGCTACACGCACATAATATAAAATTATCCGAATGGAAACTGCGCGTAAACACAACTGAGATAAAAACAACAATCGTGAAACAAAACTGAGAAATTAATATAACAATATGGAGTGACACTGATGATGATGTTTATATTCGATTCGATGGTAATTGATTAATGAAGGGCAAACGAAAATTTAGATAGGATCGTGTCGTAACGTGTCAAAATAAAATTTAGAAGATGAAGAAGAAGGAAAAAAAAATATCGCTTCCAAACAGAAGGAATCAGTGAAAGGAAACCACCTCTTCTCGCGAGTTCAACGAACCTCAATGTATACAACCGAAGAAGAAGAAAAAAAAATATACACAAAATAGTAAAGATAAAGTGGGTAGCTTTTACGTTTATTCCGCTAGAATTTTAAGCAACCCACAAGATAGTTTCGGAATAATAATTCGAAGAGAAGCGAAGGAACGACGCACTATCATGATTTCATATTTTATGTGGCTGATGAAACGCAAGGAAGAAGTAGTGAAAGCGTGATACAATTGCATAAGAGTTGATAAAATAAACAAAGTCATTTCGGGTACTTGCTGCGACTACTGCACTTTTAACGGCGTGAACTAATAATAAACGTGTGTCTGCTGTATGTGATATATTAACGGCAAACTCCCCCAGGCTATGCGAACTTTTTCATTTCATGTTACTTATCCTCGCTCTTTTTGTTTCGCTTTTCGAAGGCTTGCAATATATATATATTCTTCGAGCTCTTTTTATTTTCGTGTTGTTGTTGTCCTTCTTCTTTCTTCTCCTGTTCTCCTCGTTGTTGTTTCTTAAGCACAGGACTGGATAATGATGATCGTAGTGTGGTGCACGGGGCAAGTTTAAAAATAGCCACTCGTTTATATATGTATAGACGTACACGTAAACACCAACACACTTCGCAGTGGCATCCTGGGCATGTTTATCCTCGTGCCACGACCAGCTTCTGTTTATTGATGAAATTCATATAGGCATTCGGAAAGTGCACAATCGGGTCCCGTTATTAACCCGATGAGCACAATATCGGATGCCCACGCGCACGCCAATTAATTAACCATCCTTGAAAGCGTGCAGCAGGATGCAAAAAGCAAGAACTGGTGTTGTTGCTGCAAAAGGGGGATGGATGCTTTTTCCCTTTTTCCAAAATGACCGTTATTCACAATCTGTGTAACGCATATATACACCCCCTATGGAACGATCAGATGTTGCACCTTTCGGCAAACATTCGCCGAGTACCGCAGGGCAGAAATAGAGTAGCATCTGCCGCCAAAACAGCTGTTCAATTTCCACCAAAAAAAAAAAGGAAGCGGATAGACGAAATATGTAGACAAATACGAGTAGGGGACTAACTCATTTCGTCCCGTCTATGATGAAAATGGGGGACGCGTATTGTTTAACTAGACACGCGCACACTTTCAACCCCTACTATAAATCAGACACAATAGATATGGAACTCAATTCAATTTCCATCCCCCAAGCAAATACATAAAATTAATCAATACCCCCAACATTTCTGTTTGTACCCTTTGATAGAACATTTGCAATATTTATTTTTTAGCGTTAGAAATTTTGCTCAATCTTTATCGATTTACATACATCACAAGTTATTAATATTCACATAAAGGTTAATTACATGATAAACAATACTTTCAAATAACTGCAATCCTGCAGACGCCTACCAATTCCAGTTTATATTTATAAACATCGACTAATTTGAAATTCATGATGTTTCAATCATAAAACAAATATTTATAATAGCTTAAAGTTTTGATTAAAATATATCATCTTTATTGCGTCATTAAAGCCGAGCACGATTCAGATGCGGAAATGAACAGTTCTATAAATGAAATAACTAGCATCCAACACCTACTAAATTTTCTGTCAGAAAGAGCGCGAAGGCTGTTCTCCGAGTTGTCATTGCTCAATTGCTTAATCCAAATATTTAGTATTCTCTCTATATGGAATTCGAAATAGTTAACTGTAAATAATACTACGTGCGTAATGGTGTGGCACTAAAAAACTAAGCACGAAAAAAGAAAACGTAAAATCCCGTTTCTCGATATAAATCTAGCCCACTAATTTATTCAGCTAGTGAGAGGAGACAAATAGCAGCTAAAATGCAAATCTCGTATTATTATTATTATATGCATACGTTGGAAATATACATAAACGTGAGCAAATAGACGAGTGATGCGATTTTTCTTAAAAAAAAATAAACTTTCACCCAAAGCATATGCTACTTGCATTTCAAATATTCATATCGATATTTGTTTTTTGACGTTGTTTTTAAATCTCGTAGCAATTGAAATTGTTTGTTTTTCGTCGCTTTACAATTCTATTACAAGATTAAATAAACTAATTGTGAAAAATGTAAAAATAATTAGAATATTGTTTTTGTTTCAGAAATAAGTGAAAGATGCAGTCTTCCGCAAGGATCGTCCTGCGGCGTGTGTCCCGCTCTTCAGCAACGAATCCTTTTTTTTTCTTCTCCAGCGTCTCACAAACACATTAAAGAAGGAAACGAATAAGTACGTTTATATGCATGCGGTAATTACGCGAGCAACGATAATTAACATTAATGATTTTTTATGGTCCGAAGCGTTGCGCGTCTTCTACTACTACTTCTTCTTCGGTGCACATCGAGAGCGGCAGTTTTAATTGAATAAAATGTGTATTTGCGCAGCGTGAATTGACTAGTGCACAATAAAGTTAGCATAATACTGAGTAATTATATGCTAATGGCGTTTGGCTGCGTCCAATATCAACGTTAAACAATTTTTATTGTGGCCGTAAGTACAAAAACGCAGCGGGCCGTCGCTCTTATTGCCGTTGCTTAACGAAACAATATCGAAGAAATAAACAAACAACAACAACAAAAAGTCGAACTAGTCTTATTGGAATCCTATTGATTTTATGCACTCCACTTTCATGGATGCTTAATGTTGTTTTATGTGTTATAATGGTCTTGGCATTTGAATGCTGCAATTGTTTGACATTTTTTATAGATCGAAGGGGGCGAAGAAAAGTGAATCATCGTACCTGTGATTTTCTTTTGTTTTTTGATGGTGTTGTTGTTCTCGATGACAACTTCTTTTTCGGCCAGCGGTTGCGGATACAGGTCGGACTGATCGAGCTCGTCGTCCTCGTAGGACCTTCTGCGCTTCGGAGCATGGGTGATGTTATCGGTGTTGGGTACGACCGCTTTCCAGATATAGCGACCGGCGTTCGCACCGATCGGACAGACGGGCACCTCCTTCTTGAAGTCGAACTCCCATTTGGCGATGTCGTTCTTCATCTGGTCAGAGAACTCCTGCTCGAGGAATCGCTTCGTCTCTTCGTGGTTGATGGGCTCGAAGAGAGTGCGGCGCACCTTGTTGATGCCGTTCCTGTTCTCCTGTCGTCTCGGGAGCGGCGAACGCATCCTGAACAGTTCGTGGCTGGCTTGGATGGGGCGGAATATCGATGTCATCTTGTTGATCTTGTCTTGTTTTTCCCCCTCGAAAACAAACCGAAATTTGCCAAAAACAACAACAAAATTGAAAAAAATCGCGTCAGAAACCGCTTCTCGCTTCGCACACAGCAAAAATACAACGGTTAGGCAACTCTACGATCTTAGGCGTCGTCAACCCACGCTGCATATGAAACAAAGCTCTCTTTGTTTATATATGTTTTTTTCGCGACGAACCACTCGTTTAATTACGATTGCACTGGACAGGATCCGCACGTCAGATACGGGGGTACACGACGTATTCGAACTTGGGGATGGAAAACCCTATTGACACGGGGGCTGGCTGCTGCTGCTGTTGTTGTTGTTGTCGATGAACGGTGAGATGAACGGCGAACGCACGTAACTTGTTCGACGCAACTCGTAGAACTAAACTTGCCGGATCCGCGAGGAGACTCGTGCCTGTGCCGGTGGCTCGCTCTAGCGGACCCAAATTATCGAGGTTTTAGTTGGTTCATTCTAACCAAAGGGGGAGGCCGGTATGGTTGCTACACATTGTACAGCACCGTCATAAATTTACCAACTGCAAACAGCGTACTTCAGCCTACTCAGTACTCGCACTACAAAACACCTATATTACTTTCCTCTATTTTCTGTACCACGATTTCCTCCTTTAAACACTCAAACATCTACGTAATTCTACTTCTACATCATTTTCTTTCCACCATCACACAACAACAACATCAACCAACACACAAGATACTTGTGCACACTTTGATTTTAAATATTTAAATCGCTATCTCCGATTTTCATTTAAACGCGTTCATTTTATACAACAACATCAGCAATTTACACTTTTCTCTCTTACATAAATATATATTACTTTTGCTGCAACCACTTGCGTGATCAACCACACTCAACCACATTCAAATATTTAAATCGATGTCCATTTTTTGACTCACTGCGCGTGCACTTTAAAACAATTGCATTTGATTATCATTTATCGTTTCTCAATTTCACAGGAAATGACATCAACCAATGTTTTATTCGTCTCGTTTACTTTATAGCTTTTATTGTTTCATTGTCTACATTTGCACTCTTATTGCTTCATTTACTACATACATCTCCTATTCCACTTGCAAATTTGAATCAAATAATCTTCATACTAATCAAGTTTCCTTAATTATTGTATGAAAATATGCTAAGCCTACTTTTAATTTTTTTGTAATACAATTTTATTCAAAAGTGTTTATTCTCTTATAAACTTCTTAATAAGCACACAAATTTTATAATTTAGATATAGAATTATCCGAAATCAAAATTAAATTGAAAGAAATTAATATTCTTCAATAAACTCTACTTATTATTTTACTACATCTTATTATTTACTAAATATTTGTACTATTATCATTCTATCTATTGTATTTATGTGCTGTTAAAACTTATTATTCGTCTCCTTCTGCTGCATACATAGAATAATATGAGCGTACGCAAATATTACCGACGACAGATGGTACACGTACATAGAGGGATAACAAATCCTAAACATAATATAGAAAATCAATACATTTACCGATGGAGAGAGAAAGGATCGATATTTAATTATTATCAAATAATATATCTCTTGTTCCCCTATAGTTATGTTATAAATATATAATTAAAAAAAAGAAAGAAAATTAAGTTGTATAACGAAGTAAATTATCAACTGATGTCATTAAGATTATATCTCCAAGATGACTAATTCCAAAGTCGGTTCGTAACTACTGGGCTTGAAAAAAACTAAAGATAAATAGACATAAAATACTAGACGTTACATTCGTGATAAAGCATTTACATTTTCTTTGTTTGCATAAAGTAAACTTGCATTATATTAGTTTTTAGTTTCCGGAGAGAATATTTATATATATAAGTAGATGCAACTCGTTGTTCAGCGCGGATGCTAATTAAAGTAATCGCAACTTTTGTAAAATGAAAATCGAAATTATTAATTACACGTAAAGAGAACAGATTACAAAACTGAAAAGATGAATGACCTCATGCCAAACACAGCGTTGTACACTAAGCTAGCGTCTAAATAAATTTCCAATTTCGTATTACGGACGTAGTAAACTTTCTAATTATATGGTGTTTGAATTTTTTTTTTCATCCTCCTCCTCCGCCTATAAACAATCGTCGAGTCCACGATAATAAATATACCTTATCTTGATGATCCGTGAAGTGCATGCATTTCGTGTAGATTAATTAGTATGTACGCGTATGAGAGTGTATGTGTACTATGGTATGAAACAAAGGACACGCAAAATGCTAAATGCTAAATGAAGAAGAAAAAAACGTTTTCCCATTTGCCAAATCCTGCTCTCGAAAACCCGACGTATGTTTCCTGTAAGAAACACCGATGCATTCGAGGGTGAGAATTTCCGCCCTGAGCGGATGAACGGATGCATGACCTCTTGCACTCTTCCGCCGCTTGGCTTACCACACGCTTGGGAACGAACCGAGGGCACGAATTTCGTATCCGAGAAATAAGAAGAAAATTACATCCACACTAATACAGCATACGCAAATCCACCAAATCAAAATTAAATTTTTGTTTTACCTACATTAATTTAGTTATTGTTACTTGTATTGTCTTATAGGAAATATATACTAGATTTAGATTTATTGATAAATGTTATCCAAAGATTATTGAATTAAATTTTACCTTGATTGAAGCAGGAATTTGTTTGCTAATTTCAACAAAGATTTTAAAATATCCTTTAAAGAGTTATTGAATATTGAAATTGATTAATTGAATATGAAATCAGTAAACTGCAAACGTTTGCGGAAACGGCCCCGGAAAAACAGAGATTTGGCATGTTTTTCATGGGTTATCATGGGTACCAGAATTAATTGAATTATCGATTGAACATACTAGTGAACAAAAAGAAAAGACGAAAAAATCGTAATCTGTCGTTCTGTGACCTATCCAACGGTTAATTATTCCCAAGTATGCAAAACATAATAAAGTCTGTCTCTGCGTCTGTATTGCAGCACAGCAAACGCGAATCCACACAACTTGCAAATGATTACTAGCCATACTAGCTAGCACATTAAACTTGACCTTGACTTAACCGACTTTAAATCAGTAATTGCTTGTTTGCTTCGGCGCAAGGTTACATAACACAAAGTTAGCGGAACGTAAGCGTGTATATATATAAATTTGTGTGTGTGTGTAAAAAAAAAAACGCAGCTCGTGTTATCTATTCAAAATATTGTCTAGTTAATTAGTTGACAAATTAAGATGAAGTATAAATAAATAAATAGAAAATGCAACAAAACTAACTTTATTAATTAACTAGTGGACTTAGAATTGTAAGTATTGATGAATTCAGAAGAGAAAAACGGTTTATCAATGGAATAAAATATTAATTAATGGAAACGAAGAGAAGATATTTTAATTGATATTCGACTACGAAATTGTTAATCGTTTCTCTTTCACCTTTTTAGCAAATTTTGAAGTTTAGTGAATCAAAGGAATTCAAACAACTTTATGCGTTTACTTTTTACTGAAATTCAAATGTTGAAGGCGCGACGTCATAACGCGAAGTTCGTGCAACAACGACAACAAGAGCAAGAAAATAACACAAATTGACACGTGACATTAATGCGCAACGCAACAAATATACTGAATATTTGACAAATTGCTTAAGTTACATACAATTGACGGCAGGAACTGACTTAAGTACTCTTATGTAATGCGGTTCAGAATCGTTAACCTTTTAATTTATTTGAATTAAGATTACATTGGCGCTTGCATTATGAAGCCAATTCGATGGAGAAGGAGAGAGAGCACACACACACTCATACAGACGACACTCACCTCAGAAATAATGAGATCTGCGTTAAGTGGCAAAGTCACGGTGCCGGTCGATGCACAATAAAAATACAATTTTTTTTTGTGTGAATTTGTGTGTATAATAATCAAATTTACATCAAATCGCGGCGCGTAAAATTTCTCACATGTAATTACATACAAACACCAACCAAAAAAAAATAAATTTGGAATAGAATGAAAGAAGCTAAATATTACAAACGAAAATAAATTGTCTACGTAATTTACATTCTCACGGAAACCGACAAACCGAAAAAAATAAAAAATATATATGTAAGAGAATGAGAAAAATGAGAACAAACGCAGACGCGTTCCATCCAAATGTTTTGTGTGTAACTCCACCACCCTGAAGTTCTCACATACTTTACTACTGTTGCTAGGAAATAAAAACATAATACGCTTCGCTTTTTTTTCAACACCATTTTTAATTGCTATTAGATGTCTCTAGATGTTTCACTTTGTTTTCAACGTATTAATAGACCAATTGTAAATGTACCATTCCTTCAAATAAATCATCGTGACACCAATTATTTAATACATCAGTTGACTTTCTTCTAACTTAAAATTTGTTATAAGATTTTTGTTATATGATATAATAGTAATAATTTGATTTTGTTGTTGTTTGAAGGAATTAAGTTTTATAAGAGAAAGGTTAATTTAAATAACGTCCATATAAATTGATGAGTTTACTCCTTAATAACAGTTGTAATTTATCTTTATAGGTTTGTTACGTGTTTGTACTTGGAGGTCGTTAAAAGTTTTTGGGCTCTTTCACCGGCGTCAAAGAAATGTGTTTGACCATTGGATCATTTGTACGAAGAAGTTAAAAGAAATAATCAAAAAGGTATTAGTTCATAAAGAAAACTGTTTTCCACGCCAGAATAATCTTCTAATTCACAATGATTTCTGTAATGTTCTAAGAACTTTCTAGTTTATATCTTTAGATATTATTATTAAAGATTTCTTGCTGTTTCTATTAACTAATATAATTGTCTTAATGTATTGTTGAACCTGATGGTCTATTGTAATTAGATGCTAAAGCTACATGCAAAAACAGTTAAATTAATTAAAATTATTTAAAAGCGAATATGGAAAGATTGGAAATGAACGGAGTAATAATATAAATAATTTATAAATTAATAACATTTTTTTTAATGGTTAATACTGCCAGATGTTCAGCGTTAATGCGTTTCAAGTAATTTATTGTTTCTTAACAACGTTCTCGCTCAAATTACACGGACACCGTAATATTAATCATGTACGTCTGGAAACATATGACCATTGAAAGTTTTATCAATAGCCCCAGTTCTAGATATTGTTCACTGCTGACTGTGATGTATACGGACGGACGGCTAATCCTCCCCAGTCCATAGCTCTGTCCTCGCATTCTTTCTCAAACTTAAAAATATTTATGACTCTTTCAAATGAAATCTCACACGTCTAATCTTCCCTGCACCTTCAATACAAAACCTTGTTTTCTGTTCTCTTCTTCTACTTCTCTGGTCCGGGCTGTAATTAATTTTCGTTTTATTCTTTCTTTTTCACCATTACGACGCTCCGCTCCGGTCAAAAGTAACGAGAGACGAGCAAAGAAAGAATCTGTGTGCTCTTGATCGTCCAGTTTATTTTTTGTTTCCCGAAAACAATAGAACGAATGCGTCCATTTCATTTTCTCTGTGTTTTGTTTAACGTAATGAAACACATTGTCCTATTTAAAGGTGTTCTGGTTTTCTGGTAATATTTGGGACGACCTTAAATGTCATTTAAGTAAATATATTTTGTACTTTTATTACATTTTCCTGAAAACTTAAACTTGAAAACATTGAAGTTGTAGCTAGTGAATACAACTTATCTAAAAATATTGATTATATACAAAACTATGAAGAAATGAAATAGATTATATGAGATGTTAAGATTTAGCATATTCGAAATTAGTCTCTTGCAAAATTTGAATGTACAATTTTGTTTTTCTGTTCCTCAATTCATCTGTTAGGAAAACCAGACTAACTTAACTTATATTTAAGTAATAATTTTTTAATTATTTATAAAATAGCCATAAATTACAACTAACAATTGCGTTTTCTTTTAAAAGTGTACATCAAGATGTTGTTTCCTCAATTACTTACTAATTTTAAACTTCAACGTCGTCCGTTTGAGTTGACATGTGACATAAATATCTGTCACTATATTTGTGTCTCATATTTCGTATAATGTGGTTGCATAATAGATAGAAAAGTTTTCTAAACTTAACTTGAACTATTCGAAGAAACAATGAAAATGTGTACGCTCTTTAATTATCTATTAAGTGGAACAAAATTATTGAATAACTTGCAAAATCCTTACTGCATTTTGATATTATAAAAACTATTTTAATTAACGTTAAACCAAACCTTCTTCTAGCATAAAAAATAACAAATTTATTCAATTTATATCTCATATTTCGTATAATGTGAATGCATAATAGATAGTTTTCTAAACTTAACTTGAACTATTAGAATAATCAATGAAAATTCAAAATTTCTAGTAAAATAATTATTTGGATCAAAAGTTTACTTATTTTTAAACATGAATCATTTCTACAAATACAAGTGAATAAGTTTACTAACACGTTTAATCGAGACTTAATATTTATTATATGCATTTAAAGATATTCTTTCATTATGTTAAATAATATTTATGTGGTATTCCAATAGAAAATAGTAGAGTTGATTATAGTGATGTGATGAAATATATGAATATAAAAAAGTACATGGTACAACTTCAACACGTCCATCATCATTACTGGCCCGTGCATATTAATGTTTAGTGCATGCTAGTTGACCTACGTATGAAAACAAGTATGCGTACGAAAACAGTTAAACATTAAACGTTGAATATTAAAACGTGAAATGGATAAATAAAACTGATTTTTATATTTCAATTGCATGAACAAAGTTCTTCGAGTTTCCAAAGCGAAGCACCATCATCTAATTTGATGGACGATGTAATGAATGAAATTCAATATGTGTAACATAATAATGAAGGAAACCGTACTAAAACAAAAATCTGCCCGAAGAGTGGAGTGGCGGTGGTTTCGTTCCGCTAAACAGTAAAACCGGAAGTGGCGTGCAATTAATCTTAATAATAAACGCGAGAACGATTCGCGCAGAGAGAGGGAAAAAAACGTAGACTTCCCAGTCGAATCATTGGCCGAGCCAGCACGCATTGTCTGCAACAATTGCGGTGTGAAAAAAATTATTCAAAAAACTCGCCGTTTTAGCAGTTCGCGGAGAAGAGCCACAACGATTGCTGCTGTTCCACGATGAGTCCTTTAATCGCAACCCAAATATCATCATCCTTCGGATCTATCGAATGGTAAGTGAGAGCATTCAAAATCCGAAACGTAATTCATTCGATTCGCGCACTTCGAAGCTGAGGCTTGGAACATTAGTAATTACAAATTTATTTAAATTGGCATCCCGTCGTGTGCGCTCTTTAATTCCGCCACAACTCACGTTGTAAATAGTAAGTAGTCTTACACCTTAAACATATACATCTGTAATTATCTATTAAGTGGAACAGAATCATTGAATAACTTGCAAATTCATTACTGCATTTTGATATTATAAAAAAAAACTATTTTAATTAACGCTCTTCTAGCATTAAATTTAACAAATTTATTCAATTTTTGTTTAATATTCAATTACTGTAAATATGTATTAAATATTAGGAATTATGGGATACTAAAATTTCTATAATAAATATGCGTTTTCTACATCTAATACGTCTATAATTCTCTATTATTTGGAACAAAATAATTGATACATAAAATTCATGTATTTATACCAGAAAAAAAAATATAATTTTCTAAAGATTTAAGCAAATAAATTACATACCTTTAATAGAAAATTCTAAATCGCATTTGATAAGAAGAGAGGAAATTATATTTGTATATTACATTTTAAAAAGAAAAGGAAAAATTTTGTTAGCAATATTGATCTAGAAACGTAATTAACTGTAAGTGTAATTCCATGCAAATTATCCGTTTTCTCTCCAGCAATGAATTTATTTTTTCCTCTCTTTCATCTTTAATTAAAATAATAACCGCAATTGGCAATTAAATCGAACACCCATAAATAAAAGTGGCATTTCAGTTTTCCCCCCCGAGACATTTAAGTCATTAAAACGTTAAATAGATTTAATTGAAAGGTTTATTACTCAGTATGCGTCATGATTGACGAAATTATCGCATCGGGAGATAATTGACGAAACGAAATGTTTATTTTTCTTTAAAAGTATATACATTTATTATTATTGTATATTATATGAAAGTAAAAGCTCGTATAGTCAGGTTCCAACAATATTCCGCACTGTTTGAAGCTGGGATAGTATAATAAATAGTGTATACAAGAAGAAAAGAAACTATCATTTTATGTATTACATTTGCGAAGTATTTTAAAGTAATTTCACTAAATAAAATTCCGTGTAGAAATATTCGACGTATTTTTAGTTTGCTTGCATTGAAGGTTATTGGTTATCGAGCGTTTCTATTTTGATCGTCTTTACGACTTGTAAGTGGTTTAGGTGTTCACGAGCTTGCTTCAATTTGAGATCAATCTTTGGAAGTCTTCATTACGAAAACTAACTTGTTAATTGAATTATCTTTTCGTTCTAAGTATTAGACACATAATTAATAGAGACGGAGCATTATTTTTTTAAATAATGAACGAGAACACAATGTGCAACAGTTCACATGCAAAAACTGTTTGAATTCCAACATTTCAATGGACGAATGTCAAACGAAGGTTTCCGCGCTCAATGTCAATGGAAATTTCCGCTAGACCTATCGTTTCCTGGACAATTCTCCTCATCGACTAGGTTTGATTTAGGTATTGGTAGCTGATGTGCGTCATCATTTTCGAAGCAACGGGGCGCAACGAGATGCCGAAAAGGCGAATTTAATACTACGAATATTTTGCACCAAGAGCCATGACCATCTAATTGCTTCACGGTCTGGCTGGATTTATGCTGTAGGACAATCCTACTTGTCTAACGATCTGGACAGTTATTAAAAATTAATCATTTACGTTGAAGTGAACATCTTCCTGGTCACTGCCAACTTTAATAATCTCTTAATTAATGATGTTTCGTACCTTTCTATTGAAATTAAATCAAAATAATTTAGCTAAATTAATTTGTTACATTACAATTTAGTTTGGAAACTAATATTGTTGAATATATCCGCCGATCGTCCGCAAAGAGTTAAGTGTGCAGTTCTATGCAACTACCCGCTTCCAGTAGACAAATCTATTCCAACTATGTAAAAAGTGATTTCAATTGTTTAAACTATACTTGTCTATCAAACATTTAACTATAATAAAGTCGTATAAAACGATGTATTTATGTCATTTATTCGCATAGCAACTAAATCGAAATAAAAACTTTAATTATACAATAAAATGCATCTAGTTTCACTAGATCGCAGCATAAGAAACTTATCAAATGCTGAGTGATACGTATTTCGGCTGGAAATCATTAGTTAATGTCGGTGCATCGAGAATGCCGCACGTATCCGGAGCGCGCTGAAATTATAGAAAGAAAGAAATAAAAATAATATTGCGTGCGTTATCAAAATGAATGCGTTACATATGAGAGACGGTGGTCGTGCAATTGAAGAACAAAAATACACAAAAATAATTACCGTGTCATTGGGCGTGCGCGAAATCTATGGATTTTCTCACTAGTTCGACTGTGAAGCTCTACCAGACGACACGCTTCGAGTTGTCCTATTCAGAGTACGTATTGAACGATCCATTTTTTTGACAATTGTAATTCGATTTCATTTGCGTTTATATGTGAATGACAATGAAATTGAAACGTTTTCGTTGTTGCAAAATCGAGCTTTCGATTTCAATGATGATAACATGATTTAACCTTAGATTATTGGTTATCTTTATTAATATATGTGCATGTGAACAACCGCATATTTATTATTAGTTACTAATCTAATCCACTTTTCTATGCACATTGTTACGTGATAAATAAATCCTCGTGTTTGAGGAGACGCGCTTTGTAATGGAAGTGCAATGTACTCCTATTTATAGAATCACCATAATCACATCGGCGTCGGCAGATCAATAAGGAAAGAGAGAGAGAGAGANNGTTTAGAATAGATTCGAACCATCGGGTGGAGGAGACAGACGTAAAGACACACGCGCGCTTAATAAATACGTGTATTTTTAGTGTCTTATAAACAAAGAATTATAATTAAAATTACATATTTTCTTTTATATATATATATATTATCTACAATCGTTATTAACGCGTAGAAACAAGAGAAAACACTTATCAAGGATGCGTTGCAAATAAATTGAAACAATATTTTAACGTAAATTGCAATTGTTCCATGACTAAATCAAGTTATTATTGTTTCTGAGACATAACAATCGACGATTACACTGCAATTCAGTCAATTGTTTATCAATGCAAATAACGATCATATATGAATTTCTCTTTGCATTTATTGCTTTAATAGAAATTGAATATTAAAACATACACTCGATCTAATAATGCATGCAAATGTGTATTTTGATAAGGATTGTCGTTTGCAAATCGACGTCATGTCTACCGAAATTGGTAATCGATAAATATTATCTATATACAAATTATTGATGTGCATAAACAATATATAAAATATGATCATCGTACGGTATTGCTTATTTGTTTAGTCTTGCATTATTTCATTTGCAAAAGAACGAAATCGAATTACATTGGATTTCGTCACTTGAAGATAGCCAAAAGTAAACAACTTTGCAGGATTCACACTGACATTCAATCATGTTTATATGAACCATAATTGATTACATTTTTTTATATTTTTATTTCAATTATATCGTTTTTCCTTTCATTAATATATATTTTCTTAACTATAAAAATTAAACTTTGAACGTATGTTGCTATGATCGAATTGATTATAAAACAAAACACAAACAAAAAGCATCACAGATTGAGAACTCATAACCACTTGACAGATTTGACAGAAATAAATGAATATATGTAAAAATAACAATTTGTACATTCCGAGTAGATCGCATGTTTTCAAGGTGTGACTTGATGAAAGTCTTTAATAATAAATAAATTAATGGACTGATATAAATAATAATTCTATAATAAATTGAAAATATGTATTTCTGTTAATTATCACGAATCATCAGTTATATTTATTTATTTCGAGTTGGTAATCTTTGTTTAATAACAATGTTTGTTCTTTGCCATGGAGATATGTATAATCGTTATGTTATATTAATTACGTTTAATATTCGTTTTGCATACAATTTCTAGTACTAAAATCTTAGCAAATTGCATTGATAATGAACGAAACGGACATAACTTTTCTAACCGAAACGTTTGCGTAAACTTAAATGGAGAATAAATGAAGTGTAATTAGATTTACGTATCACTTAAAATTGTAGGTTACGAACTTTTGACAGATCCGTGTTACGATTGAGAATTCTTTTGTTCACAGATGGCGAAGAACGTTGCCCGGCGCTTAAATTTCTCCGATAACGAAGATGCGAACAGCAGCAGTAAGGACACGACGGAAACGTTCCTCGTCGACAGCATCACTTCGTCGTGCAACGAAGCCCGAGACAGATGGAACTTTGATTTCAAGGAGGAGAAACCTTTGGACGGAAATTGGGAATGGAGTGAAGTCAAGGCCAACTCGAACGATCAGGGCAGTCCGTAATGCAATTACCCACAACTATTAACTTAATATATTATTACTATTATTAATTGGTGCTACATATATTTATACAAAAATATATATTGAAATTCTTCTAGTCTAAATTATTGTTTAATATAATTTTATTTAATCTCTTTATATCTATTCATTACTTTTATTATGTTACTTTAATTATTTATTATTTAATTCAATTTATATACAGCTACATACCAAATACAGCAAGTATATATACATATTAAAGATTATGTAATTTAGTTTTTAGATTATGTTTATTATATTTAATGTGCAATCGAACTTGGTTTTAGACAAAAATATGAAATAGCTTTGTGTACTTTGTGTTTGTTTTTTTTTGTTGTTGTTATTACAAATAATGATGATCAATATAGAGAATTATAAAATGTTGTGCTTCGGATCATTTCTTTCATACCAACATTTCCATGTCAATGAGGCGACGGCTTGTCGTTTCGTTCTTCAATGAACTTCTCTTAGTGCAGCAACTCTTCCATATTTCCGGGATTCAAAGGCGCAGCCTAGAGTACACTGCGTATACACTTATGTTAGAGATAGCTCATGGGAGTGCCGTATGGATTGGTGCTTGTCGCTTTCTGATTCTAATCCAAAAAAAAAAACAACAATATTAATATCCGTTTTTTTGTAAAAACTTTCATTTAAAACACAACAATCATTTAACTAATGAACAAAGTAAATCAAATTTAACATATTGTTTGAAATATTATATTTTAAATGATTGATCACGTTCATTCTTTACGTTGAAGCAACCCTTGATTATCTCTCCGTTTTATTGTTGTTCATCTGCGAAAGAGGTAGCATCTGCCGCACTACGAGGAGGAGCAACCCGTTGCTTACGAAGTCAGCTGGAGATTAATTCCAGTGAATCGCAATTAACGCTTCTCTTTTTATTGAAACAATTTAATTCAAACAATCTTCGGACCATCCATTTAAAGTTGCGTAAGCCACTTACGTAATAAAAGCAACGCATAAGTGTATTTCATTTAACCAGTGCTCATTCCTTCAGAATCTTCATTTTTTTTTAATTATAAATAATACGTCAGTAGTTTAGGTTTCAATTCAGATTTATTTAATCTACTTAAGTAGACTTCTGTTGCGGTTGGTGAATGGGTATCGTTTGTTCATACCACGAACAAAATTTGAATGTTAGATGGCAAATTTACTAATAGATGTTGAAAGGAAAAGTTTAATTTATTGCATCTTAAGTTATATAGTTTTTGAATTAAACAGGTAACCTTATGAGAACGATCGGCGAATATATCCGCCCTATCCTTTACACCTGAGAATTTGCTTTATGAAAAAAATAATATTTTAGTTCTAAAATAAAAGTGTTTTAAAGTTATGCGATTTTTATTTCAAGAAGCATTTTTTTAAAATAATTATTTTAGGCCATTTTGACACGTTTGGAGACAAATTGGTAAAACCATTTCATCGAAAAAGATGATAATTCTGAACGAGCATTCAAATTTCAACGCGATCTTAAGAATTGCATTTCTGGATATCAGGAATTGTACAAAAAAAAATAGCAAAGCCATCGCCAAGTTTAATCACTGATTATATTGTCAAAGGGAAAAAATCAACATGCGAAGTTGAGACTAATTTTACTTGTGAAGAATCATTATCTTCAGGACATAGATCTGATATGCTGACTATCTTCTAGTGATGAAAGTGATTTCGAACTCAGTTCGCAAATTATGCCGAACACTCTCATATAACTCATATAATTCTAAAGAAAAAAATGTGAAGAAAGATTAACTTTCATAAAAAATTTCTGTATTTTTTTTTGTAAAATTTTTCCGTATAAATTTAGAAGGAATATGTTAAAATTATATTTTTCTGAAATTGAATAAACTTGTCTATGATTTCAGAAAGAAATCAGATAGTAAGACTAATTATTTTTCTGAAATTTAATAAAACCTTTTTTATGCGATTTTCGGTATATTGTAACTCATTGATTTAATTTTATGTGGTTTTAAAAAAATTATTTAACGTATCCTTTATTTTTATGCGTTTTCCTGTGGAACGTATCTACCGCATAAAAAGAGAACCAAGTATATAAAAGAAGAAATATTATTACAAATATTAATTGCTTTTCATTATAACAAATTACAAATTCACATTAAATGTTAATTTATGTATGAAGATTACTAAGAGAACGCTCAGTATGTACATTTTTTTATTTTGTAAAAGCTTCACTGATCACGCGTGCACAATAGATATCAATTGTATACAGGATGTTCAATAGATACATGTTAATCTAACTTCATTCGCATATGCAGAAGTGTGAAGATTTTAATGTTCAATTTATTCACATTTTCTTATTTTATCCGGAAATTAGCAATTCTATTTTAAGATACTACTTGTAGATACAGTGGAACCTCGCTTAACAGGCACTTCGCATAACGAGCGACGATTCGCATAACGAGTGACGGTGAGAAGAGAAACGCCTGCTACAACATTTTTGAAACTAGTGTACACATATTATGTGTATTTTTTGAATATGTTTCAATATACGAGTAAAAATCTGGAAATTTTGGAACGGATTAAACTCGTTAAGCGAGATTCCACTGTACTTCATTCAAAAGAATATTAATATACTAGATCTTTCTTCTGAAAATCTTAATACATGTTTGCTATTTAAATTGAATATGGAAAATTTCTTACGCATTAGACAATGAAAATTCTAGAAGTTCTTCTTAATTCGTATAAGTAGATAAAAAATATTTATATAACAATTAACATGACATTATATATTTGATGAAGAATAAAGCGGTTCCACTCCCCAGTGTTTGTCTTTGTTAAAAAACTGTTTAAGGTACTATTTCGGTTATCGTTCAAGATAAGTACATCCATATTTGTTTTTTTTTGGTATGATTTTGTTGCAGAACAGGAAACATAAACATCCTCAGCCAACGCCAACGAATCGCGTGTTCTTTGCAACAAGCATCATCATCATCGACCTCTCCTTCTTCGTTCATTTATTTCATACACATTTTTTCGTTTTATTTCGTTGGTCTCGTTTCAAGTTTCGGTTCTCCTATATTGAATTCAATGACGTTAATTGCGCGCACGTTTGAACCCTTCAAGAAACTGCTGGCATGTATGATACAGCGCATACGAACACACACACAGCAACTAGATTTGCCATATGTCGCGCGTAAGGTCAAATGACATAACTTAAAGCCACTTAATTGGATAAAATTACCAATTAGTGTAACTGCATATTACACACACACACACTGACTGCCGCACTCGGTTGGCACTTATTCCATTTATTTACTACCGTGCACTCGTTTTACAATATTTACGTAATTCAAGCCGACGATTCGATATGCATTTCACGATGGTTGTTATTATTATTCCTTTGTCCCGCTCGTTAAGAGTTTTTTCTTTTTCGTTTCGCTCTTTTCAACGTGTCCTCATTGCCTTTGTTATTAGGTCCCTCCGAATGAACACCTCGCTTCTCCTTCATTATTCCTCACTTCACGGTGCTTAGTGATGATGATTTCAATCGGGATGTAAGGAAAATCCGCTCCCATCTTGACAACTCGCCCCTGCCGTGACAATGGGGAAGGAAAATTAGCATTTTTAGAAGCAGTGTTTTAATTTTACGGTCTACAAGATTGAATGCGACCTGGGATTGTGCTGTGTGTTATTCCGGTGCGCTCATGTGCGTATGTGCATATCCCGTATGAATAATTCAACGCGAATACAAATAAGTCGTAATTATGGTTAGCAAAGATTTCAAGACTTCCTTTTTTTGTTGTTAAATAGGGATACATTAAGATTGATCTTTTGCGCGGGATTAAAAACATCAATTACGGGTTTCGCATTCGCCGCGGATGCTTGCGAAGGGGGAAAGAAAAATGATTGACGTGTTCATTACACGTGTTTCTTCTACTCGTTTCTTTACTTATGTACACAATGCACGTTTGCTACTCTATTTCATTTTGATATTTCTTCCCATGAGTTACTTTTTTAAGATTTTTATATTAATTATTTAATATTTCTTATTAACACATCAATAAGAAAACATAATTCAAGCACAATTCATGACAAAAACCAGTTTTTTGTCTTATCACTTAGAATTGATTGAATTTTATTACGTACAGCTCATACAGAAGAAAAGTCTAGTTCTGCTTCTACACAATCTGTGAGAAAGTTAACATTTCATATTGTTTTAATTCATGTTTACTCAAATTACAAATTATAAAATTTGTATTCCTTATTGGGCCACGAACAAAAGGAGTATCGAACAGCAAGACTTCAATATTAACAATTCTATTGGTTATTTCGGTTATTACGATGTTTTAACTAATCGTTGAATGGGTGAAATTAGGGATCTAATCTATTTTAGAACTAATTAAAACCAAACTATTTATATGTATGGATTATCAAAATTGTATATTCAATTAGTTAATTTGAATCTAAATAGGCAAAAGCAATAAAAAAAAATAGAAAATTATGGTAAAAATTGCATTATTTGGGCACGAAAACGTCGCTTGTTTGCGTCGCTCATGCAGAAGAAAAGTCTGCTTCTACACGAACTGTGAGAAAGTTAACATTTCATATTGTTTTAATTCATGTTTACTCAAATTACCCTGATTTTTTTTTTGTGAAAATTTACCAGTAAACTAATTAAATCTAATAAGAAACTGACATTTTCATAAATTTTACTTTATTTCAATCAAACAATGTAAAAGATTTGTGAAAACTGTATAAAATGAAGAAACTTAATGTTCCGTTATTTACGCTGTAAATCTAGTGACTGGTGCACACACACACAGCATTCTTGTTTTTTTCTTCTCTTCTTGTCGTTTCTTATCAGGCAGATGCGCAAATTAGGATGTGGCAGTCGCTCCAGAATAAGGTAAGCATCCTGTCATATGTGTACCGGAAGTTCATGATACACATGTGATCCATACCTAAGACTAGATGCACTTCCCTCAGTTCTAAATAAGGCTTCTCACCATTTCCTGCAGCTTGCTTGGTTCAACATTTATTCTATATAAAGAAACACGACCGACGTACGCTTCGTACTTCTTCA